TTCAGTTCCAGTTCTAGTTCAGTTCTAGTTCAGTTTCTAGTTCAGTTCTAGTTCAGTTCTAGTTCAGTTCTAGTTCAGTTCTAGTTCAGTTCTAGTTCAGTTCTAGTTCAGTTCTAGTTCAGTTCTAGTTCAGTTCTAGTTCAGTTCTAGTTCAGTTCTAGTTCAGTTCTAGTTCAGTTCTAGTTCAGTTCTAGTTCAGTTCTAGTTCAGTTCTAGTTCAGTTCTAGTTCAGTTCTAGTTCAGTTCTAGTTCAGTTCTAGTTCAGTTCTAGTTCAGTTCTAGTTTAGTTCTAGTTCAGTCCTAGTTCAGTTCTAGTTCAGTTCAAAATATTTTTAAAATTTTCAGAATCTATTCGATTCAAAATCTTTCTTGCTTTTAATTTTTTGTAAAATTTTAAAATATTTTTTATTAAATTGTTTTTTTTGTTTTTTTGAAAAATTTTTAATAAATATTCTAAAATTTATTTATAATAAATCATATTTTTTTTAAATATATACGTACATACATATACTATGTTTATATTTTGAAACAAATTTAAACAAATTTTATAAAAAAAAGTATTGACTAATTTAATTTAAAAAAAAACAGATTTTTATAATATTTTTCAAAACAATCAATAAATAATACGATATATTTTTATATAATTAATAATATTTACAATTAGATTATGACAAAATTTCAATTTATTTAAAAAATTTTTCAAATAAATTTTAAAATTTTTTTTTATTGATTTTCTTTTGAAAAATTGTAAAAATTATTAGATAAACTTTTATAAGTTAGAGAAGCAGAACAAAAAAAGTGAAAATAAACAGAAAATTTATTTTTAAAAATGTTATGAAAACCTCAATTAATATACAAAATATTTATTTAAAATTTTTATGTTGTTTTATTTGAAATTTTTATTTTTTTTCAAGAAAATAAGATAAAAAATTTTAAAAGTGAGTGGGTGTGGGTGGGTTGATCATGATGATGATTTTGAAAATAATAAACATGACAACAACACATATAATAAAAATAATAAAGAGTTTTTTTAAAGCTTTTTCAAATAAAATTGAAAAATTATAAAGAAAAAAAAAACTCAAAAACGGATGTTGGAAACAATGAACGAACATATTTGATTAACTACGAGCCAAAATAATGAATTAATAAAGAACTTTTTTTTTATAATTTTTTTTTATAAAAAAATCGTTATTGTTGTTTTTTCCTTTAATAATTTTTTCAATTTACTCACTAACACTTAAGCAATTTTAAAACAGCCAAGAGAGAGTAAGAGAGCAAGTAATAAAATTTGCGCATATTTTAAGGCTTGTTATGTGTATTAGTGTGTGTGTGTGTAAGAGTAGGTTCAAAATTAGTGATCGAGAAAAACCTGCAGGTTTAGTGTTGTTGTTGCCAAAAAAAGCTTTTGGCCAACAGGAAAAACTTTTATGGTGTGAGGTGTATGTGTGCATGTGTGCATGTATGGTATTTATTGTCTTAGTATTGGTGAACATATAACTCTGCCGAGTTTTTATAAGAAAAGCGAGTGATATTGGTGAAGCAAAATTTTAAACATCAGCAGTTTGAAAAAATTCTTCGTTGAGGATAGAACGCTATATTTTAGGGAGTAATTAAAAGTAAGAAGAATAAAAATTTTCTTTAAAACAAATATATTTGGAAATCAAATTAAAACAAAACTATTTTAAAAAAGGAATTTGTTTTAAGTTAATAAACAGCTAAAGAAACAATAAAAAACATCAATATAATTTTTTACAAAATTGTAAAGAAAGTGAATTGAAAATATATATAAAAAAGTAAATACAAGAACAAGCAAAAGAAAAAAAAAACGATTTTAAAGAAAAGTAACAATTTGAAAGTGTTTGTAAACAAATTGAAGAAAATGAAAATAAGAAAATTTTTGAAAAATCTTGAACAATTTTCATAAAAATATAAAGAAAATAATAAAATTTGTTAAAAAATAAAAAAAATAAGGAACAATTTAAAAAAATCTTATATAATCACAACCGATCGATCAATTTTATGAAAAACAAGAATAATATTTTTTTAAAAGTGTCATATATTTTTGGTTGTCACATATAACCTAAAAAAAAAGACTGCCAGACAAAAAATATAAACGATGATCATGTTTATAAATAGACTTTGAAATATTTTTTTAAAGAAAAATATTTATTAAAATTAAAAGATTATGAAATCTACAAATTTTAATACAAGAACAAGAATATTGAAAAAATTTTAAAGAAAAAAAAACTTTTAAGATTTTAGATGATAACGGATAAACTAACAGCTTTTCAATAAAATTTGAATTATTTAAGAGGAAAAACTTAAAAAAACTTTCAAAAAGTGAAAAGAAATTTTGATTTAAACGAAAGAAAATGTTTAAAGTGTTAATTTTTTTAATTTAAATTTCAATAATTATAACAAAGAAACTGGAAATTTTACTTCAATTATTTTTCCAAAAAGAGTAGTGTTTCAGAATTTTGAAAAATATTTCAAAATTTTTTTTATATATAACAAGAACTTTTGAAAATTTGGGAAAAATCATGATTTTAATATGAAATACTTTATAAAAACTGTTTGGATTATTTTGAATTTTAAAATTTTGATTTTTTTTTGAAAACTTTTCAAAACTTTTTCAACTTTTTCATAAATTTTTTTGAAATTTTTTCGTTTTAATTTAGAAATTTTCGACATTTCTAAGCATTTCGCTCACTTTCAATATTTTTTCGAATTTTAGAAATTTCAAAATTTATTTCGTATTTTCGAACTTATTATTCGAATTTTCGAACTGTATCGTTTTTCGTATTTTCGAACTTATTTTGATATTTTCAATAATTTTTTCGAATTTTCGAACTTCTTATTCGAATTTTCGAACTTCTTATTCGAATTTTCGAACTTATTATTCGAATTTTCAAACTTATTATTCGAATTTTCGAACTTATTATTTGAATTTTCGAACTATATCGAATTTATTTCGTATTTTCGAACTTATTATTCGAATTTTCGAACTGTTTTTTGTATTTTTGAACTTATTTTGATATTTTCAATAATTTTTTTCGAATTTTCAAATTTTTTTAGAATTTTCGAGCTTTAACGTATTTTTTCGATTTTTCTTCTTAATTTTTGGTATTTTCAACAATTTGTAAAATTTATTTTGAATTTTCAATATTATTTTCGAATTTTCAAAATTCAAAATATTTTTTTAAAGTTTTTAGTTAAATTAAAATTTCAAAACCTTTCGAATTTTCGATTTTATTATCTGAATTTTTAAACTGTATTTTCGAACAATAATTTTATCGATTTTTCAAAATTTCAGAAGTTTTTAGAATTTTCGAAATTTATCGCATTTTGTTTTTCTTAATTTTTGATATTTTCAACAATATAATACAATATAATAAATAAATTTCACAATTTTGAATTTTCAAAATTTTTTTCGAATTTTCAAAATTCAAAATATTTTTTAAAATATTTAGTTTAATTAGAATTTCAAAACCCCTTCGAATTTTCGGTCTTATTATCGAAATTTTCGAACTGTATCGAATTTTTTTCATATTTTTGATTTTTTTATTAAATTTTGAAAACTTTTCGAATATTCAAAATTCAATTTTTTTTCGAATTTTCAAAATTCAAAATTTTTTCAAATTTATTTGATTAATATTTTTAATTTCTTAGAATTTAATTTCATTGAATTTTCGAACTTTTGTATAATGAAATTCTGAAAATTTTTCAAATATTCAATATTTTTCCAATTTTTCGAAATTTCAAAATTTTTAAGAAATTTATTCTATATTTGAGATTTGTTCTTTTTAATTTTGGTATTTTCAACAATTTTTTCGAAATTCAAAAATTTTGAAATTTTTCAAAATTTTTCGAACATTATACATTTTTATCGAATTTTTGATAATTATGAATTATCTTTCGAAATTTGTTCCATCTTTTGGATTATTTCCTCTTAATTTTTGGTATTTTCAACAATTCGGAACAATTTTCAAAATTTTCGAAATTCAAAATTTTTGAAAATTTTTCGAACATTATACATTTTTAGCGAATTTTTGATAATTTTGAATTATCTTTCAAAATTTATTCCATTTTATGGATTTTTTCTTCTTAATTTTTGATATTTTCAACAATTCGGAACATCTTTTTTTGAAATTTCAATATTTTTTCGAATTTTCGAATTTTTGAAATTCAAAATTTTTTTAAGTTTTTCTAAATTTTTAGAACATTAAAAATTTTTTAAAAAATTTTGATAATAATAATGTTAAAAAGATTTTGTTCGAAGTTCGAATTTCAGATTTCACGAAATTCGAAGTAAACAAACAAATTAAAAGCTTTTTAGTAATAACAACTAATTCGTAGAACGAACGCTTAATTTCGCGATTTCGTTATGTTTATTACAAGAAGAGAAACTTTTTTAATGGAGAGTATTAAGATCATTCAAGATTTCTGTTTTAAACGCATTATAAATATAAAAGCTTTTTACTATATATTCAAGAAAAAGCTCTTTTGGAATTCTATACCAAACAAAAACAAAAAAAAAAAAAAAATCCACATAATTCTGTAATAAATCATCCATTAACAACAAAACTAATGCTTAAAACAAAACGTCAACAACAAATACAAAACTTTTCTAAATATTTGGTGGTTTCTTTTTTGAAAAGTTGTTGTTGCTGCTGTAGTTGATGCTGTTGCTGTTTCTTGCTGCGCTACACACTGCTCAAGGACATTTAAAAATAACTGAAATTTTTAGCTAAAGCTAGTGCGAAAAAATCGAAAAAAATACAAAAAAAGTAAAACAAAAACAACAACAAACTAGAAAATAGAAAAAAATACAAAATAATGAAACGCTATAAAAAAACGCCAAAATTTCACACATTTCTATTTCATATTTGTGCTAAAAAAAATAGAAATGAAAATTTACTCTCTCACACTAATACAAATCTTAAAATATCCTCACTTACACATACACACATACAAAGACACTTACTCACTCATTCCACTCTTTTGCCTTAGAAAGGGGATTTCGAAATCAACAACTTTATCATACACTCAAGAAATTGCGTCAGTTGTCGTTGTGTCATCGCAAAAGATCGATCGATTTTTGCTTGCTGCAGACAATAATTTTTTTTAAAGAATTTCAATTTTTTCGTTCTTGTTTTCAAACGACTCGTGTGAGTGATTAAACATCAAGTATTTATTTTATTTATTTTCAAACAAGTGTAGGGAAAAAAAATCGGAATTTATTTTTAGTGTCATGATCTTGTCGTGTATACCAACTATTTTTTACAAAAAAAAATATAAAATTAAATGCTTCTAATATATTCTATAATGTGAAAATGTGAAAAATTGGAACACAAAATAAAAATTAAGTGTGGAATCAAGTGAAAGTGTTGTCAATTTGCTATTCATATAAAACAATATATAAAAAAATTTAACAAATGAACTTTGTACTTGTTTAAATTTGACTAAAATAGTTGCAATACAATGTTACAGGCCAAAAGGAAATGTTAAAGAATTTGTCTGAAAAAAAAATACAAATTATAAACTTTGTACTTTATGTAGTGAGAGAAATTATTGACATAGATTTATAAAGGAATCCTGTAAATTATTTTGTGAGAAATAATGACAACACATTTGAAATTCAATAAAAGCTTTACGAAAACAGAAAGCTTTTTATGGAAATATTAAAACATTTAGTTTGTTTTTGTTTAAAATATCTGAACATTTTCCAAAGAAAAGCTTTTTGAAAGCTTATGATCAAAAAGCTTTTTGAAAGCTTAACATCAAAAAGCTTTTTGTATATTTCTTGTGGTTTATTGATCTTTACAAGACCTCTTAACGTCCAAATATAAATTTTCTAGCAGAAGCTTTTCAAAAGCTTAAGCTTTCTTAAAAGCTTTTAAAAGGTTCTTCTAACTATTTAAGCTCTCTGAAAACCCAAAAGTACAATCTTCAATGTTGAGTATATTTCCTGATTAATCTTCTTCTACTTACAATTATTTAAGCTTTCTATAACTTCACATATTTTTTTTTTCTTATATTATCTAAGAAAAGCTTTCTAAAAGCTTAAGTTTAAAATATTTAAGAAGCTGTGAAGAAAGCTGAAGTTTACGATATTAAACAATTTATTTCTCACACGTCCTTAAGTTGAGCTTTTAGCTTGTTTAGAGAGTTTTTTTTTTATATTTCAAGTTTTTGGAAAGCTTTAAACATTTTCACAATTTTTGTTTTTTCATTATAAGTCTTACTTTAAATTGAGCTTTTGAAAAGCTTTAGAATATTCCGAGATTTCTATTGATCTTGTCAAACTTACAAAGTATAAAGTTTTTGGAAAGCTTTAAACATTTTCACAATTATTGCTTTTACTTTACATTGAGCTTTTCAAAAGCTTTAGAATATTCGTAGATTTCTATTGATCTTGTCAAACTTTTCTGACAAGTATTTAAGTAGATCTTTTGAAAAGCTTTAGTTTATACAATATTTTTTAGAATTTTCTTTTAACAAATTCATTATTCACAAGCTTTAAGCTATTAAGCTTTAATGTTTCGAAGAGAATTTGTGTAAAAGCTCAAGTTCTAGAAGCTTATAATTGCGAGAAAAGGAGAAAGGGATAGTACACAACAAATTTTTAACTAGAAATTTACTTCTTATAAGATGAAGTTTTGAAAAGCTTTAGTTTACAAAATTTGTTATATATTGTTTTATAAACTTCTTATTCGAAAAGCTTTACATAAACTTGTAAGAAAAGCTTAGAAAGCTTTTCAGAAAGCTATAAGACTTTGAAAATGCGTTCAATTTTCTAGGAAAATGTGTAATTCTTCAAACTATAATGTTTTCTAGAAAGCTTTTGGTAAAATTAAATTATTAATAACAGTTCCTTGAAAGTTTTGTTTTAATTTTAATGTTGTAATTGTATTTGTTATTTTTTTAAGACAAATTATTAATAATTTTAATTTCTGTTTTCTTTAACAGCGAACGAGTCCTTAATTAAACGAACTTTTTACGCTTAAAACACACACACACAAACAAATCGATCAAGATGTTCAAGAACCATTTGGAAATGATTGGTCGCAACGAGAGCCCCAGCAAGAAGGCTAAGTTCTGGCAATCCTATATCAGATCCTTGAAGGGTAAGTTGAAAATTTTACAACAAAATAAAAAAATGTTGGACAAAAGCTGCTAAAAGCTTAGAAAACTTTAGTGAAACTCTTTGCAAATAGGAAGTAGAAAAAAACTTCAAAGAAATTAAGATTAGAGCTTTTTAAAAAGCTTTATGAGAACTTTTAGAAGTAACAGCTTATAATTGAGATTTGAAAACCAGCTGTTGTTGGACAAAAGCTGAAAAAAGCTTAGAAAAAACTTCAAAGAAATTAAGATTAGAGCTTTTAAAAAACTTAATGAGAACTTTTAAAAGTAAAAAGGAAAAAAGCTTAGAAAACTTTAGGGAATCTTTTTCTATACACACTGAAATACAACATTTAAAAGAGCTTTTAAAAAGCTTTAAGCAAACATTAAGAAGTAACAGTTTATATATAACTGTGAATGGTTAAAAACTTTCAAAAAGCTTTTCTTAAAGATGTTTTTAAGGTAATTTAATAAAGACCAAAAGAGAAAAAGTTTAGAAATCTGGAGGAAGACTGTTTCCACATAAGAACAAAAAGAAAGCTTAACTTAAATGTATGATAGAGCTTTTTAAGGAAATGGCCGTTATTAAAAGGGTATATTAGGCGTAAAACGGGTTCTTTCTTAGAGTTACAGTCCAAATTTTCCGAAAACTAAAGAATTCACTTTATTTGAAAAGTTTTTTTAAAAATCTTTTTGTAAATCTTTGAATAATTTAATTCCAAATGTCTGTATATCAATTAGAATATTATACTTCTCTCTTCAAGAACCCATTAGCAAATTCCATTTAAACTACTCTACTAATCCAAATATTTGATACTTTAGTATTTTTTTTTTTTTTTGTATTCATAACCTAAAAAAAAAGAATACACAAAATAAAAATCTCAATATAAATTTAAATTTTCTGCAATTTCCACGAAAAAAATAAGAATATTTAGTACAGTTTTCGTATTGGTATTTTGATTAACGCTGGCGAAAAAAATACAAAAAAAATTTATATACAAAAAGCAAATTGTATAATTTGGCAAAAAGCCAATGAAGAAAAAAAAAAAAACTGTTTCAATTTCAAATACGTAAAAATAAAGAAATATATAAATTCCAAAAACAAAAGAATTAAACGTATTGAAATTTGTTTAAAACAAATGACGTAAAATATATATTTAAATTAAGACTAAAGAGGAAATAAGTGGGTTTGAGAAAGGGTGGAAGGGGAATAAATTATTGCGATATGAAATTTTTGAAAATAAATAGTATCAAATTCTTTTTTGATTTCCATTTCAGAAGATTTTAATTTATTTGCGTGTTTACGTTACGTAAAGACTAAAGACTTTTTAAGAAAATGTTTCCAATTATTTTGGTTAGAAAAACTATTCCAAAACAATTTCTATAAACTCTAACGTTACTTTAGAATATTTTAAAAATTTTCCATATTTGACACTTTTTCAACCCTTAGTAAACTAAAGAGTAGTCACTACAACAAACTACAATTTATTAAAAACTCACAAAAATAATACGAAATTGTTTATTTATTTCCATTCCCCAAAAAATGCTTTATTTTGGATACGAATAACCATTTTTGCTTTATTAGCCACTCTTCTATACCTTAGTAATCTAAAAAGTAAACAATCCAAAAAAACTGAAACCAATAGAACTTCTTTTTAGTAACTAGAAATTGTTCTTTGAATTAAATGTAGGCCTTACATGGAAATCTAAGGAGTTGAAGTAATTTTAAGATATTTGACACTTTACTATCCCTTGGTAAACTATTAAGTAGACAGCCCCAAAAAATTGAACATAATAGAACTTCGTTTTATTAACTAGAAATTATTCTTTGAATTAAGCTAAAATGTAAGCTTTAGACTGTAAACTAAAATCTTCTAGTAAATTTAAAACATTTGACACTTTATCAGCCCTAAGTAAACTAAGGTGTGGACACTCCAACAAAACTTAATCTTATAGATATTCCTACAAATAACTAAAATAAATGTTTCTTAAAATAGAGGATTTTTAAAGACTTCCAGTAAATTTGAGACTTTTGCCCCTGTACCAGTCCTTAGTAAACTAAAGAGTAGACACTGTAATGAAAATGAATTTACTGGAAATAAACCAAAAGAAAACAAAGAAAACTTCATTAAGTTTCTTTAAAAATTAATGCTTTATTTAGAGATTAATTAGCTCATTCTTAAAAGCCTTTAACACTTTATTATCCCTTGGTAAACTATGTAGTAAACACACTATTTAAAAGGAAATTTAATACTTTGTGGAAAAAAATGTCAGCGAAATTTTTCTTCAAATTACCACAATAACTTTAAACTAAGTTTGAAATATCTTAGTAAAGTTAAAATAATTAACACCCAAAGAGTAGACAGACCAAAAATAGTGTGAACATAACGAAAAATTTTGAATAAACTGCAAAATATTCAATAAAATTCCTAAAATGTAGGATTTAAATAGTATACTAAGGACTTTTAGTGACTTTAAAGCATTTGTCACTTTATCGCCCCTTAGTAATCTAAAGAGTGGACGCTTCAACAAACAGGAATTTACTCATAAATTCTCAGGATTTCTGCTAATATTTATTAATTAGTTTAACAAATTTTCTTACAACTATTTTAAATTTCTTCCTTTTCTAAAAGAAAATTCAATGATATTTACGTAAACGTGACGTAACCATACTAGTTGAAATAACATAATTCAAAGAAATTTTAAAGTTAATATTAAAATTTGTTTAAATTTAAATATAATTTATAGCAATTAATGGTTTACTTAATTGGCTGTTACGTAACGTATGTTTACGTATTTACGTTAATATCAGAATTTAATATAATTTTAAAGTAAATATTAAGTTTTTTTTTAAATTTTAAATTAAAAAAATAGTAATTTATGTTAATAAAAAGTTTACCATTACGTAACGTAAGTTTACGTATTTGCAATAAACTAAGTTTCTGGCAATTTTGTAAATGAAACCAAAGAAACAAACTTTGTTTAAATGTTTAGTAAGCAAAAATATTATTATTCTGAACATAACGTAACGTAACTCTGCGTATAACAATTTACGTAACGTAATGTTAAACTTTTTTCGATGTTTTGAACAAATTCTGTTTGATTTTATTTTCTATTTTTAATAAACATATATTTGTATCACAGAAAATTCCAAAATCGTAAATGTTTACTTTATTCGCTATAACGTAACGTTAGTTGACGTAATTGAAATAAACTGATTTTATTGTAATTCTGCAAATGAAACCAAAGAAACAAACTTTGTTTAAAGGTGTAGAACACAAAAACCTTAAATTTCTTAACACAACGTAACGTAACTCTGCGTTAAACCATTTACGTAAAGTTACGTTAATTTGTTTTTTCGTTTTTTTTTTAAACAAATTTTGTTTGGTTTTATTTTCTGTTTTTTAATATCTATTTTTATCACTGAAAATTCTAAAAATTTATTCGTATAGTCACCCAATTTTATTGTCTGTCTGGTAGGAAAAGAAATTTTTCTTGTTGTCTTGTTATATGAGGAAAAATAAATAGAACTTTTGCGTTTAAGAAAAGAGGTAGTGACAAGTTTTAAATTAAGAACACAACTGATTTGTTTGAAAACATATAAAATAAATAAAGACCCTAATATTAAGTAATAGTAAAAGAGAAAAAGTTGAAACTTATTTAATAATTGTTCTTTTTTTCTTCATCTTTTCTTTCCAGGATCTGAGGATATCCGTGCCCATGAGACTCCTAGAGCTTCTCGCCCTTACAGCTCATACTTAGATTCTCCTGCCACATACAGGAGCATCTATGATGAGCCTGCTACCGCCAACGAGCGTGTACAGTCTCATGGCTACAGATATTTGCCCGTCAGCAGAGACACCTATGGCTATTCTCCACGTGCCATCTACGATCATCATTACAGCAGAACAAGTAAGTTGAAGTTTTTAAAACTTTTTTCTTCATTTTAAAGTTAAATATTATTAAAAGCTTTTTAATTTAAATCCTTTTCGAAAAATTTTCAAACAGCTTTTTAACATAAACACATTTTTAATAAAAAAAACATTTCAAAACATCTCGACATTAAACATTAAATTCATTATTATATGTTTATTAGATTTTTAAATATTTGAAACATTTGATACTTTACTAGCCCTAAGTAAACTAGAAAGTAGTTACCCAAGTAAAAATTAATCTACTAGAAGTTTTCAAATATAACTAAAAATGTTTTTTTTGAATTGTCTTTGAATGTTAGCTTTATATAGTAATCTAAAGGCTCCTAGCAACTTTAAGGCAGTTGACACTTTATCAGCCCTTGGTAAACTAAAAAGTAGATACTCCTACAAAACTGAATGTAATAGAAACTTTTTTAGATAATTATTAATAAAAATTTATTGAATTTCCTAAAATATTATCTTTTTATAGTAGTTTATTGACTCCCAATAAGTTTTAGACTCCTATCACTTAACCAGTCCTTTGTAATCTAAAAAGTAAACACTCCAATTGAACAGAAACTAATGGAAATAAAAAAAAACTTAAAATATTCTTTGAATTGTCATAAAATGTTAGCTTTGCATAGTAATCTAGAGGCTCTTAGCTACTTTAAGACCTTAGACACTTTACCAACCCATAGTAAACTAAAAAGTAAACACTCCCACAAAAATTTATCTAACAGAAACTTTTATGAATACTTATTAATTTATTGAATTACCCAAAATGATAGCTTTACATAATAGTTTGTCATTTCCCAGTAAGTTTTAGACTCTTGTCACTTTATCAGTCTTTGGTAATGTAGAGAGTAGACACCTCAATAAAACTGAAAATAATAGAAATTAAAAAAAAACTATTCTTAGAATTGTTTTCAAATATAAATCTAAAGTCTCCTAGTAACTTTAAAACATTAACCACTTTACCAGACCTTAGTAATCGAAAGAGTAGACACTTTCACAAAAATGATTGTAAAATAAACGTTTATAAATAATTAATAAGAATTTAAAGAAAATCCCAAAATAGAAGTTTTACATAGACTCCTAGCAATCTTAAAACTCCTAGTAACATTAGAACACTTCACACTTTATCAGTCCTTGGTAAACAAAAGAGTAGACACTCGCACAAAAATTAATCTAATAAAAACTTTTATAAATAATTAATAAGAATTAAAAAAAAATCTCAAAATAGAAGCTTTACATAGCAGTTGTTCGACTCCCAGTAAGTTTGAGACTTTTGACCCTCTATCAGTCCTTTGTAATCTATAGAGTAATCACCTTAAAAACTAAAACTAACAGGAATTCTTTAAAATAGTTTAGGAATTGCTTCAAAATGTCTTCCTTACACAGTAATTAAATGTTTTATAAAAAAATTTTAAAACATTTGACACTTTATCAGTCCTAAGTAAACAAAAGAGTAGACACTCTTATAAAAATGAATGTAAAAGAAACTTTTATAAATAATTAACAAAACTTAATGAATTTCCCAAAATAAAGGCTTTACATAGCAGTTTTTTAACTCCCAGTAAGTTTGAGACTATTGACCCTTTACTTAGCCCTTAGTAATCTAGAGAGTAAACAGCCTAAGAAACTAAAACTAACAGGAATTCTTAAAAATATTTAGAAAATATTAAAAATATTGCAATTGTTGCAAAATGTCTTTTTAACACAGTAATTTATTGATACTTGACATTTGACACTTTATCAGTCCCTAGTAATCAAACGAGTAGACTCTCCCACAAATATGAATCTGTTGGAAATTCTTACAAATAACTAATAAATAATTATTAAATTACCCAAAATAGAGGCTTTTTCTAGTCATCGAGACATTCCTAGTATGTTTGAGAGCTTAGACACTTTATCGCCCCTTAGTAAACTAGTCGGTAGACACACCCTTAAAACTAATAAAAATTCCTAAAAATAACTAAAAAATTTTCTTTTAACTGCAACAAAATATATTCTTTACACTGTAAACTAAAGTCTTTTTGAAACTTTAAAACATTTAACACTTTACTAGCCCTTAGTAAACCAAAGAGTAGACACTTTTAAAAAAATTAATCTAAAAGAAATTTAATAAATTTTCAAGGTTTTAGGTTAATATTAGTTAATTTATTTAAATGTTTTAAAAATATTACGTCAATTATGTATTGTTGTTGTTTTTCTCAAAACAAATATTATACAATATTTTTTAAATAAATTATTTTTATTTATTATATGGTTGAAAAAAAATTTTTGTTTATATTATACAAAAAAACAATTTTTTTAAATAGAAAAGCTTTTTCTTTGTTGTTTATTTTCGTATACAAAATTTGGTATAAAATTTCATTAATAATAAATAGTTTTTTTCTCTTCTTCTTTCTGCTTATTTTCATATAAATTTAAAAAATTTTCTCAATTTTATTATAAACAAATTTATAAAAATAATAAACAAAAACAAAATATATATTTTAAAATTTCTTAAAATACATATGCAAATTAATAACACACTCACACACACACACACCTTTGCAGAATTAAATATCAGATATCGAAAATATATATAGAAATATACCTCTACATTTAAACATATGTTTTTTTTGCCAATTTTTTTTTAAACATAAGTTTATATTGTTTATTAAACATATAGAAAGAAAGAGAGAAGAAGAAAAAAAAGCTTTTTTAAAAGTTCTCAACAAACTCATTATAATTTATGATTTGAAATGCAAAAATTTTGAGTGGGCGTTAGCTGTGAAAGATCAAAAAAAAAAGAAAACTTTCAAGGTTTATGTTACTTGAGATTTTTTTCACTCCTTTTTTTGTTTTTTTATAAACTAAATAATAAAATTTATTTACTAGCAGAAAAATTTGTTGTTGTTTTAAATATAACAACAAATTTTGAAATATTTTTTTTTTTTAGAAATTTCAATGTTAGACAAATATACCTTTCATTTCATAATTTTAAATTAGAAATGACCTTTTAATGCCAAACATATTGCAAAAAAAACTTTTGGCAGCTTACTACTCCTTAGTAATCTACAGGGTAGATGGATATTCCAACAAAATTAAATCTATAAGAAACTTTTAAAAGCAAATAAAACATATTCAATGAATTTTAAAGAAATTTCCTAGAAATTTAAAGTCCTAAAAGTTAAAGGATGTTAGATACTTTACCACCTCTAGGTAATCTAGAAAGTAGACACACGTTTAAAAAGGACATTAATAAAATTTCTTTAAAAATTTTAACTATTTTCAATTTACTCCTCAATATAGAGAATTTACCTAGAAGACCAAAAGCCGTTTAGTAAATTTAAAACATTAGACACTTTACCAACCCCTAGTAATCTAAAGAGTAGACATAAGGCCAAGTTTAAAACTGACGGAAACTGTTAAACTATCACTTAAGTATTCAAATCAATTAGTTTTCAAAAAGTTATGCTTAACCTTGCTGTTGTTTAGACTTCTAGTAATTGGAAGTAATTTAACACTTTATTTGCCCCTAGTAATCTAAACAGTAGTTAATTGATTAAAAATTACACATAATAGAATTTAAATAAAAATTTGAACAATTTTCAGTTTATTCCACCAAAATAGGGACTTAAAATAACATTTTCAAGACTCTTTTGTAAGTTTAAAACATTTGTCACTTCACCCGTCCTTAGTAATCTACGCAGTAGATAGTCGAACAAAACTATATCTAATAAAAGCTTTTAAAAACAAAAGAAACTTAATCAAAAATTTTCTTAAATATATTTTACACATAAAAGTCTAAAGATTCTTACAAAAGTTTAAGACACTTGTCCCTTAAGCACCCCATTAGTAATCTATGCAGTAGCCACATGTTTTAAAACGAATTTTATATAAACTTCTTGAAAGAATTTGAAAATTTTCATTTAATTTCCCAAAATTTATGGTTTTACTTTGAAATCTAAAGACTTTTAAAAAGTTTCAGGCATTTGACACTTTATTAGCTCTCAGTAATCTACAAAGTAGATAGCTAATTAAAAATGTATTAAATGGAAACTTCTGAAAAGAAGCTTCCACTCAATTATCTTAATTAAAGATTTATAAAGATCTTTAAAGACTTTTAAAAATTTACACTAAGACTTCTAGCAACTTTAGTGCAGCTTGTTCACTTTTTCACCCCTTGGTAATCTAAAGAGTAGAAAGCTGATGTCAAATTAAATGAACAGAAAGTTTCAAATATTATTTAAAATTTTTCTCACAATTTTCTGTTTAAAATATATTTTGTAAAAATTTTTTGAAATGTTTTAAAGACTAGACACTTTCCTAACCCTTAGTAGTCTAGAGAGTAGACACTCCATTAATAGAAAATTTTCCGAAATTTACAAAACCAAACAGCGGTAAAATTTCCATTTAATAATGCATATTAAAGTGTTTACTTTTGGGAAAAATATTTTCATTGTTTAAAACATTAGACACTTTTCCACACCTTGGTAAACTAGAATGTAAACAACAGATCCAAAAATGAATTTATTAGTTATTTTAATACTTAAGAACTTTTGGTAAACTTTATATTAGTACTTTCCTCAATAACTGAATATGTATATAATACATTCTGGAAAAAATACTTTTTTGTAGTGTTTTTATTTCGGGTACTTTAGAAAAAAGTTTAAATTTAACAAAAATCGGTATAAATTAATAATTTTAAATAAAGAGGGCCATTTTGGTGCATTTTTAACGCAAATACTTTGCTTTCATTGTACTTTTTTGATGTGACACGATTTTGGTACTTTTTTTTAGAAAAAGTACTTTTTTATTTTAAGCCGAAAATTAAGCAAAATTCAATATAAATATGAAATTTTAATTAAAAAGAACTAATTTGGTACTTTTTAAAAAAGTACTTTTTTGGTACTATTTTACTTTTGGCCTAAAATTGAACAGAAATTAGTATAAATTTTAAATTGTAACTAAAAATTTATAATTTGTTCCCTTTTTTAAAGCAAATACTTTGTTTAGTTGTACTTTTTGATGCATATGATTTTGGTACTTTAAAAAAAAAAAAAAAATACTTTTTTATTTTAGTTCAAAAATTTAACCCAAATCAATATAAATATGAAAATTTAGTTAGAAAGGACTAAATTGGTACTTTTTAAAAAAGTACTTTTTTGGTACTTTTTTTATTTTCTGATTAAAATTAACCAGAAATCAGTAAAAATTTAAAATAACGAGAACTGTTTTGGCACTTTTTGGTACAAATACTGGAGTTTTCAGTTGTACTTTTTAGAGAGTCATGATTTTGGTACTTTTTCTAAAAAAGTACTTTTTTATTTTTGGTCAAAATGTAAACAGAAATCACTAAAAATATAAAATTTTAATGAAAAGGGACTAATTTAGTACTTTTTGAAAAAGTACTTTTTTATTTTAGTCCAAAAATTAAATATTAAGATTTTCCAAAACATTTCTTAATAAATCTGTTGCTAACTATATGAGAAATATCCCTTTATAATGGGATTATTAAGAAATACCTTCAAACCCACACACACACACACAAATATTTTCAAATACTTTTCTATATATTATCCCAACCCAGCTAAAAAACCCAACAAGATATATTTCCCAAAAAATCTAAAAACAGAAATATTAATAAACTATATAAATTGTTTTTGTTCTTTTTTTCTTTCTTTCATTACAAAAACAAAATATCGATGCAGAACACTAAAATTATAAGAAAATAAAATCTATATTTAAAAAAATACCAAAAAAAAAAGATCTAATGTTCTATAGATGAGAGATTAAGTGTAACTGTGTGTGTGTTTTTATATATTAAATGTGTGTCTAACTAATCAAGCAGTTTTGGGTCATCTAAAAAGCGAAAAAAACCAAAATGTTATTAATAATAGAAGTTTATGTATCAATACAACAAATAAATAAAGAAAAAGCCACAAAACAGCAGATATCCTATAGATATTAAATCTCATATAAAGAATTTAATGTATTTCTTAGCCATGTTAATAAATTGTTAATTAAACAAAAAAATAACTAAAATATTATCTGATTCATTATTTAGGTTGTTCTTCTATTTTTGTTAAGTTTCATTTAAAGCATTTCGTTAACGTTCATTTTTTCAAAATTTTGCATATTTTTAAACTCATGCTAATAACGCCTTTTATTCCTTTTTTATAGTTTAACAAAACTTGCTAATATTTTTCTCTTTTTTTTTCTTTGTTTAATTTGCTTTTGAAAAAAACAAACTATAACTGCTTTTTATCCTCAATGCCTCACCCTGCTTTTTAAATGGTAAATTTTCTTCTTTTTTGTTGCTTTATTTGCTAAAAAAAATGTTTGATTTTAAACTGCTGCTAATACCGAGAGAATTGCTGCTGCTTAAGCTAAAGTTTGGCTAAAATTTGTTTTTAATTTATTTTTTCTTGCTACAAAATTGTAAGTTTATTTATGACAATAAACTGTTTTTAATGGTGCCAAGTTTGGTTTTAATGGTTTTTGTTTTTATCGTACTTTTCAGTTCCAGCTAACTACGATGCAGAGAAGGCCTGGAATGATCATTTGAAGCGTATGCAAGAAATTGAACGCAGGTAATTATGAAGTTCTAAGTAGTTCAAGTTCAATAGTAGTTAAGTTGTAATTCAGTTTTAAGTCAATTCTAGTTCAGATCTAGTTCAGATCTAGTTCAGTTCTAGTTCAGTTCTAGTTCAGTTCTAGTTCAGTTCTAGTTCAGTTCTAGTTCAGTTCTAGTTCAGTTCTAGTTCAGTTCTAGTTCAGTTCTAGTTCAGTTCTAGTTCAGTTCTAGTTCAGTTCTAGTTCAGTTCTAGTTCAGTTCTAGTTCAGTTCTAGTTCAGTTCTAGTTCAGTTCTAGTTCAGTTCTAGTTCAGTTCTAGTTCAGTTTCTAGTTCAGTTCTAGTTCGTTCTAGTTCAGTTCTAGTTCAGTTCTAGTTCAGTTCTAGTTCAGTTCTAGTTCAGTTCTAGTTCAGTTCTAGTTCAGTTCTAGTTCAGTTCTAGTTCAGTTCTAGTTCAGTTCTAGTTCAGTTCTAGTTCAGTTCTAGTTCAGTTCTAGTTCAGTTCTAGTTCAGTTCTAGTTCAGTTCTAGTTCAGTTCTAGTTCAGTTCTAGTTCAGTTCTAGTTCAGTTCTAGTTCAGTTCTAGTTCAGTTCTAGTTCAGTTCTAGTTCAGTTCTAGTTCAGTTCTAGTTCAGTTCTAGTTCAGTTCTAGTTCAGTTCTAGTTCAGTTCTAGTTCAGTTCTAGTTCAGTTCTAGTTCAGTTCTAGTTCAGTTCTAGTTCAGTTCTAGTTCAGTTCTAGTTCAGTTCTAGTTCAGTTCTAGTTCAGTTCTAGTTCAGTTCTAGTTCAGTTCTAGTTCAGTTCTAGTTCAGTTCTAGTTCAGTTCTAGTTCAGTTCTAGTTCAGTTCTAGTTCAGTTCTAGTTCAGTTCTAGTTCAGTTCTAGTTCAGTTCTAGTTCAGTTTCTAGTTCAGTTCTAGTTCAGTTCTAGTTCAGTTCTAGTTCAGTTCTAGTTCAGTTCTAGTTCTGTTCTAGTTCAGTTCTAGTTCACTATAGACTATACTATAGACTAGACTATAGAGTACACTATAGACTAGACTATAGAGTAGACTATAGACTAGACTATAGAGTACACTATAGACTAGACTATAGAGCAGACTATAGACTAGACTAGACTATAGACAAAACTATAGACTAGACTATAGACTATAGACAAAACTATAGACTAGACTATAGACTAAACTATAGACTAGACTATAGACTAGACTATAGACTAGACTATAGACTAGACTATAGACTAGACTATAGACTAGACTATAGACTGGACTATAGACTAGACTATAGATTAGACTATAGACTAGACTATATACTAGACTATAGACTAGACTATAGACTAGACTATAGACTGCACTATAGAGTAGACTATAGACTAGACTATAGACTAGACTATAGACTACACTATAGACTAGACTATGGACTAGACTATAGACTAGACTATAGACTAGATTATAGACTAGATTATAGACTAGACTATAGACTAAACTATAGACTAGACTATAGACTAGACTATAGACTAGACTGTAGACTAGACTATAGACTAGACTATAGACTAGACTATAGACTAGACTGTAGACTAGACTATAGACTAGACTATAGACTAGACTATAGACTAGACTATAGACTAGACTATAGACTAGACTATAGACTAGACTATAGACTAGACTATAGACTAGACTATAGACTAGACTATAGACTAGACTATAGACTAGACTATAGACTACACTATAGACTAGACTATAGGCTAGACTATAGACTAGACTATAGACTAGACTATAGACTAGACTATAGACTAGACTATAGACTAGACTATAGACTAGACTATAGACTAGACTATAGACTAGACTATAGACTAGACTATAGACTAGACTATAGACTAGACTATAGACTAGACTATAGACTAGACTATAGACTAGACTATAGACTAGACTATAGACTAGACTATAGACTAGACTATAGACTAGACTATAGACTAGACTATAGACTAGACTATAGACTAGACTATAGACTAGACTATAGACTAGACTATAGACTAGACTATAGACTAGACTATAGACTAGACTATAGACTAGACTAGACTAGACTTGAGACAAACTTTAAAACAAAATATTTACGATTTTTATCTCTTTTTTCAGATACCCATCTCGTTATGGTTTGTATCTTAAGGACAAGCCCCTCACTCCCAACTCTTTGGTCCCCTTGGAATATGAGCCCGAAGATAAATTGCTCCAAGAACTCAACAAGGGTAAGAACAAGGAATTCTAAATAAGAACACAAAACCAAAAAAAAATCAATCATATAATAATAATACCCAACAACAACTACAAAATACATTTATACAAACAACATCGAGCAAAAAGTATATTATTAATATAAATAAAACTAAAAACTAAATTAATAAAAAAAAAACGAAAAATATGAAACATTTCACAAAGGCCAACGACTAAAATTAGTTTTTTATCCTCAAAAATTTGTTAATATTTTAAAAAAGTAAAAAAAGAATTTTTTCAAATTCATTCAAAAAAACAATAAAAAAGATGACACCAAACCACAAAACACACAAATTAACAAAAAAAAAGTATATTAAAGAAATATAAGTTTTTAAAATAATTTTTTGTTGTAAAAAAAAACGAGAAGAAAAAAATAAAACTTTTTGTTTTTTTAAGAAAATAAAATTTAATTTATTTTTTTTATAAATAAAAAAACTACCATCTGTTTTTACCGGGGCTTAAAAAAATAAATTAAATTTAAATTTTCTTTTATAAAATTTTTTTCTTCTTAAAAAAATTATTTAAAAACTTAATTTCTTTTTATATATTTTTTTCATCTTTTTTTGTTTTTTTCTCTTCTTCTTTTCTTTATTTTCTTGGTTTAATTACAGTTTTGAAAGTTTGATTTGTTAAGAATTTAATTAAAAAAAAATTATTAACAAATCTTAGGCCATAAACAAAAAAAAAAAAAAACACAAAAGAAAATTCTTTTGTTTTTTAGCTCAAGTTTTATTTCGAAATAAACCAAGTTCTTCTAGTTAATAGTTGATATACAAGCAACAACTACAACAACAAACAACATATTTAACAAAAAACAATTAATAAATACTTAATAAAATTAATGTCATTTTAAAATTTAAGTGCAATTTTTAAATATAGTTTAAATTTAAAACATATTTTACTCTGTAAATTTTATTTAATAAAATAAAAAACAAAAAATCACATACAAAAAAAAAATCTAAAGAAAAACCAAAACAAAATTCGTTAAATGTTTCATTGAATTTAGTTTTAACTTTTTTTCTTAGTCATTTCATAAAAATAATAAAAATTTCGAAACAAAAAATTAATTAAAGTTTTTGCTTAAAACACAATTTGGTATCGTAAGCTGTATTTAATTGAAGCTATTACAAAATTATTGAAAAACTTTAATTAAGTTTTCTTCAACTATATAACATTTAATAAAAAAAAATACATAAAATCAAACATCTTTTTCTACTAAATATTTAAGCTTAAGTTTAATCTAATAAAGATTTTGTTTTAGTAACAGAATCTTAATTTTTAACAGCTGTATAGAAAACAACATATAAAATTAACAGTAATTGAAAAATTAACTAACATTTTATTAACTAAAACTATTATAATTTTAAAATACTCTCCAACTATTTATTATGATTTAAAAAAGCTTTAAATTTAGTTAATACTTATATACAATTTAAACAACACCTTAGCAAACACTTAAATCAAAGAGAGTAATCTATATAAACTCAATAACAAACAGAAAATAAGAGAGAGGCAGAACGACTCTCGTTGTTCTAGGTCAGCTCTAGTTCAGTTCTAGTTCAAGTTAAGTTCTAGTTCAGTTCTAGATCAGTTCTAGTTAAGTTCTAGTTCATTTCTAGTTCAATTCTAGTTCAAATCTATTTCAGTTCTAGTTCAGTTTTAGTTCAGTTTTAGTTCAGTTCTAGTTCTGTTCTAGTTCAGTTCTAGTTCTAGTTCAGTTCTAGTTCAGTTCTAGTTCAGTTCTAGTTCAGTTCTAGTTCAGTTCTAGTTCAGTTCTAGTTCAGTTCTAGTTCAGTTCTAGTTCAGTTCTAGTTCAGTTCTAGTTCAGTTCTAGTTCAGTTCTAGTTCAGTTCTAGTTCAGTTCTAGTTCAGTTCTAGTTCAGTTCTAGTTCAGTTCTAGTTCAGTTCTAGTTCAGTTCTAGTTCAGTTCTAGTTCAGTTCTAGTTCAGTTCTAGTTCAGTTCTAGTTCAGTTCTAGTTCAGTTCTAGTTCAGTTCTAGTTCAGTTCTAGTTCAGTTCTAGTTCAGTTCTAGTTCAGTTCTAGTTCTAGTTCAGTTCTAGTTCAGTTCTAGTTCAGTTCTAGTTCAGTTCTAGTTCAGTTCTAGTTCTGTTCTAGTTCTGTTCTAGTTCTGTTCTAGTTCTGTTCTAGTTCTGTTCTAGTTCTGTTCTAGTTCTGTTCTAGTTCTGTTCTAGTTCTGTTCTAGTTCTGTTCTAGTTCTGTTCTAGTTCTGTTCTAGTTCTGTTCTAGTTCTGTTCTAGTTCTGTTCTAGTTCTGTTCTAGTTCTGTTCTAGTTCTGTTCTAGTTCTGTTCTAGTTCTGTTCTAGTTCTGTTCTAGTTCTGTTCTAGTTCTGTTCTAGTTCTGTTCTAGTTCTGTTTCTAGTTCTGTTTAGTTCTGTTCTAGTTCTGTTCTAGTTCTGTTCTAGTTCTGTTCTAGTTCTGTTCTAGTTCTGTTCTAGTTCTGTGTTCTAGTTCTGTTCTAGTTCTGTTCTAGTTCTGTTCTAGTTCTGCTCTAGTTATGCTCTAGTTCTGTTCTAGTTCTGCTCTAGTTCTGTTCTAGTTCTGTTTTAGTTCTGTTCTAGTTCTGTTCTAGTTCTGTTCTAGTTCTGTTCTAGTTCTGTTCTAGTTCTGTTCTAGTTCTGTTCTAGTTCTGTTCTAGTTCTGTTCTAGTTCTGTTTCTAGTTCTGTTCTAGTTCTGTTCTAGTTCTGTTCTAGTTCTGTTCTAGTTCTGTTCTAGTTCTGTTCTAGTTCTGTTCTAGTTCTGTTCTAGTTCTGTTCTAGTTCTGTTCTAGTTCTGTTCTAGTTCTGTTCTAGTTCTGTTCTAGTTCTGTTCTAGTTCTGTTCTAGTTCTGTTCTAGTTCTGTTCTAGTTCTGTTCTAGTTCTGTTCTAGTTCTGTTCTAGTTCTGTTTAGTTCTGTTCTAGTTCTGTTCTAGTTCTGTTCTAGTTCTGTTCTAGTTCTGTTTTAGTTCTGTTCTAGTTCTGCTCTAGTTCTGTTCTGTTCTAGTTCTGTTCTAGTTCTGTTCTAGTTCTGTTCTAGTTCTGTTCTAGTTCTGTTCTAGTTCTGTTCTAGTTCTGTTCTAGTTCTGTTCTAGTTCTGTTCCAGTTCTGTTCCAGTTCTGTTCTAGTTCTGTTCTAGTTCTGTTCTAGTTCTGTTCTAGTTCTGTTCTAGTTCTGTTCTAGTTCTGTTCTAGTTCTAGTTCTGTTCTAGTTCTGTTCTAGTTCTGTTCTAGTTCTGTTCTAGTTCTGTTCTAGTTCTGTTCTAGTTCTGTCTAGTTCTGTTCTAGTTCTGTTCTAGTTCTGTTCTAGTTCTGTTCTAGTTCTGTTCTAGTTTCTGTTCTAGTTCTGTTCTAGTTCTGTTCTAGTTCTGTTCTAGTTCTGTTCCAGTTCTGTTCTAGTTCTGTTCTAGTTCTGTTCTAGTTCTGTTCTAGTTCTGTTCTAGTTCTGTTCTAGTTCTGTTCTAGTTCTGTTCTAGTTCTGTTCTAGTTCTGTTCTAGTTCTGTTCTAGTTCTATTCTAGTTCTGTTCTAGTTCTGTTCTAGTTGGAGAGTATGTGAAAATTATAAATTTGTGAATTATGTATAATAAAATCTTTTCAATTACTGTTAATTTTCTAATAAACTGTAAAATACAAAAATCTAAACTTAACTAAAAATAAACTCAGAGAAACTCAATAAAATAACTTAAAAAAAACGACAATAATCAAAACATCAACCAAAGGCCAGCTCTCGCTCAGTACAAAATGGATTTAATAAAAAAAGAACAAACTACTAAAACCCAACAAAACTCTCCCCTCTCAATACTTAACTTAAGTACAAAAAAAAGATATATCAATAAAAACTCATTTTTATTAATAAAACTTAAAAAAACGTTGTTTTGTTTCATTTATAAAAAAAACAAAAAACCTTGGATAATAGTTTTGAATTTTGAAGGTTTAATTTTTAATAAATAACTTTTATTGTAACTAATAAATACTAACCAACAAAAAAAAAAAAAAAAAAAAAAAAAAAAAACATTTTTTTATGTACAAAAACTAACACATTAACTTTACCTGTGACTACTCCTTTGTCTATTCCCTTTACAATTCATTTACTTACAATTTGCGTGTGGTAATAAATGTAAATTATTTATGTTTTATTTTAATTAATGTTTATGTAATTACTGCCTTTCATTTCTTCTAAAAATAAAAAAACTAAATTTCTTTTCAATAACTTTTCATCATTTTTCAATTCAGAAACCAATCAAATCAAAAAACTCATTACAAAAAATGAAATATTTAACGAAAATTTTAAAATTATGTGAAAATATGTTAAAAAGTAATTAATTTTGTGAAAGTGTTTGTTTTAAATGTGAAATTGTTTTATTGTTTTTTTTTTATGTAAAACATTTGAATTGTCTTAATTGTTTGTTGAAAATCATGGCAGTAATATGCAATTTTTCATCAATTTTTCCTTATTAAAAGCAAAACTTAAATTTATTTAAAATATTACAACAAAAATACCAGCGCAATATTTAAAATTACAAAAAAAAAAATATCTTTAACATTTTACAAAATATTTATTTAAACTGACATCAAGCTAGAAAACAAATAGTTTACCACTTTCGTTCAAACAACACCTCAGCAAATGAGAGTCTCTAATCAAAGAGACCTTCTTTAAAAGTATAAGGCAACAGCCAATCAGAACCTCTCTAAAAATGAGCTCAAAATACTCCTTAAAACAATTCACAGCATAAAAATTTTCTCACAAACAGCTATCGGCAAAAGGTTCTCTTCTGACCTATTATGATCACTTTCTTTCGAAAGTGTCTAAACTCACACAAAACCAGAAAGAGTTCTCCTTTCCCTCTCTCAGAGAAAGTAAGCAATTATATCGGCTTACAGAGAACAATGAAAAGGCTTTTTTTTTAAAAGTTCCAAAATCTTTGAAAATTTTAGTAATTGTTAAATTTCTTTGTTTTCCATTTAATTTGTTTAATTGTCTACTAATATTTGAAATAATTTTGTTTAACTTTTTTTCTGAATAATTTGTATTTTGCGGTTACGTTGTTGGTAAGTACTAATACATTTTCTAATTTTTGTTTAATGAAACTAAAATTGACTGTGACTTAAACTAAAGATTAAAAGATAATCAATACCAACCTTAAGACATTTCACTGGCTCAATATAACAAGGAAAACTGTAAAGAAATTAAAAGAAAATGTCAAATAAAATTAGTTTCTTATCAATAACAAAAAAAAATTATATATTGACAAGTGCATTTCCGATAACTTGATTTTTCTATAATAAAGTTATCGATAACTTGACTTTTCTATACAAAAGTAATCGATATCTTGACTTTTATGAAGAAAAGTTAACGATAACTTGATTTTTTTATACAAAATGTTATCGATAACTTGAATTTTCTATACAAGAGTTATCGATAACATGTCTTTTCTGTACAAGAGTTATGGATAACTTGACTTTTCTATAAAAAAGTTATCGTTAACTTGAGTTTTATATAGGAAAATTATAGATAACTTGACTTTATACAAAAGTTATCGATATCTTGACATTTCTAAAAAAATTATCGATATCTTGACTTTTCTAAAGAAAAGTTATCAATAACTTGACTTTTCTATAGAACAGCTATCGATAACTTGACTTTTCTATAGAAAAGTTATCGATAACTTGAATTTTCTATAGAAAAGTTATCGATAACTTGACTTTTCTATAGAAAAGTTATCGATAACTTGACTTTTCTATAGAAAAGTTATCGAAATCTTGACTTTTCTAAGGAAAAGTTATCTAAATCTTGACTTTTCTTTAGAAAAGTTATAGGTAACTTCAGTTTTTTATAGAAAAGTTAACGATAATGCTTTTCTATAGAAAAGTAAAGTTATCGATAATCCTTTTCTATAGAAAAGTTATCGATAAATTGAGTTTTCGATAGAAAAGTTATCGATAACTTTGTTTTTCCATAGAAAAGTTAGCGATAACTTGACTTTACTAAAGAAAAGTTAGCGATAACTTGACTTTACTAAAGAAAAGTTGTCGATAACTTGACTTTTCTATAGAAAAGTTGTCGATAACTTGACTCTTCTATAGAAAAGTTAACGATAACTTGGCTTTTCTATAGAAAAGTTATCGATAACTTGACTTTTCTATAGAAAAATTATGGATAACTTGACTTTTCTATAGAAAAGTTATCGATAACTTGACTTTTCTATAGAAAAGTTGTCGATAACTTGACTTTTCTATAGAAAAGTTATCGATAACTTGACTTTTCTATAGAAAAGTTATCGAAATCTTGACTTTTCTATAGAAAAGTTATCGGTAACTTCAGTTTTTTATAAGTTATCGATAATCCTTTTCAATAGAAGTAAAGTTATCGATAGCTTTTCTATAAAAAAGGATTATCGATAACTTGACTTTTCAACGGAAAAGTTTTGGATAACTAGACTTTTCAATGGAAAAGTTACCGATAACTTGACTTTTCAATGGAAAAGTTATTGATAACTTGACTTTTCAATGGAAAAGTTATCGATAACTTGACTTTTCTATAGAAAAGTTATCGATATCTTGATTTTTCTTTAGAAAAGTTATTGATATATTGAATTTTATAAAAAAAAAGTTATCGATAGGTTGAAGTTTATATAGAAAAGTTACCGATAACTTGAGTTTACTATAGGAAAGCTGTCGATAAAATGAGTTTTCTATAGAAAAGCTATCGATAACTTTAATTTTCTATAGAAAAGTTATCGATTATTTTACTGTTCTATAAAAAGTTATCGATTACTTTAATTTTTTATAGAAAAATTATCGATTACTTTGCTTTTCCATAGAAAAGTTGTTCATAACTTGTACTTCTCTAGAAATGTTTTCGATAGATTGATATTCTTTGGGAAAGCTATCGGTAACTGGATTAATCTCTGTTAAAGTATCGATAACTTAAGTTTTCTTTAAAAAATATATTAATTTGTTTTCTATAGAAAAGTTATCGGTGACTTGATATTTATACAAAAAAGTCTAATAACTTGAATTTGATTTTCTATAGAAAATATATCAACAACTTGACTTATCGAAAACATGACATTTCTATACAAAAATTATCAAAAACTAATTTAATTAAAAACTTTAATATTTCCTTTAAAAATCTGTAATTTTTCAAAAATTTCTCCATATTTGATGAATTTCTAATGAAATTTTTTAATTTGCAATTTTTTCCATTAATATCATTCATACGCCTCTTAATGTGTAATTATGTACATTGTAATTATAAGGCGTATAATTGTTAAATATTTAAGTAAAAAAATATCACTCATACGTGATGGTTTCAATAGTAATTAATTCTTGACATTTTTATTCTCATTTAACACAGTTGAAAATGTCATAAAATTTTCCATATACCGCAAAGCACCCACGAATGCATAAATAATTTAATATGCAACAAATGTTGCCGTTTTTTTTTTTGCCACAAATGCGTATAAAATGAACATTTGATTTTCAGCCGACAATTTTAATTGACCAGTGGGTTATAAATATATTTCATAATTTCATCATTAAAGTCATATCAATTTGCATGCATGCACAACACACATACATTTGAACGTTGTTTATAAAACTGGCATTAAACAAATAATAAAAATTAAAAATTTAATTACGCAAAATACTTGGTTATCTCTATTTATTAAAAACAAACACACACGTGACAAAAATTAAAAGAAAAAACTTTCACCAATATCAACAGTACTTGTTAATGTTAAAACAATTTAAGTTAAAAATGTAAGAGAAAAAATATTAATTTAATTATTATTTTTTTATTACAGCTCGTCACTCCCCCACCCCAGCTCCCTCACGTTACAGACGTGCCGGCAGTGAACCCTATGTTCCACCACCAACCTACTGGAACCGTGGCTCAAGTGTAGCTCCTCGTGCTCCATCTGTATTCGATCGTGCACCATCCGTATTCGATCGTGCCACTAGCTTGGCTCCTTTCACCCGTCCCTTGTTCCGTGCCAGTTCATTGGAACCCTTGGATGAACTCTTTGCCAGTAAGTTAGATAAAGATAATGTTTTCCAGCGTGCTGGCTCACCAAGTCCCACTCCCGTTAAGGCTGGTCGCTGGGGACCTCGCCCCACTGAAGTTGCCTATGATGCTGATGGTAAACACACACAAAAAAAAATTCAATTCAATTCAAAATTTCAAAATTTTGTTAACTTTTTATTCGTTTGCTAAAATGTTAAATGTTATTTTTGTTTCCCTAAAGGAACTGGAATTGAAAGCTAGTAGTTTAGTTACAAACTGATAAAATTATCAAGGGGAACATTCTTTCCCCCCGGTTTTTTTATTAGTGGCTTAAAGCTTTATTTTTGGTGTTACGAAATTTTAAGAATTTGGCTTAAACGAGTTTATGTTTTTATATTACACACGTCTTAATGTGGCCAGAAGCATCAGCGCAAATTTGTACCCATGATTGGCAACCGTTTTATATATTCTTCTTCTTTATATATGATCCTGTGTCAGCTAAGAATTTGAATCATTATTTGAAAAAGCTTTTACTTTACAAAATGTTCTTTTACTTCTTCAATTCCTTTTTATAACGGGATTATTTTGGAAGTAAAGAACAGTTCTGACTTTTTAGTCATTTTCACCCAAATCTCTATATGAAGAGTAGAGTATGATTTGGAAATGTCATCCAAAAAAGTTATCCTTCATCATCCATATTTCATCTCTTCCATCTTCATCTCTAACTATACTTAATCTTTCTCTAGAAAAGTTATCGATAACTTGACTTTTCTATAGAGAAGTTATCGATATCTTGTCTTTCCTATATATAAGTTATCGATAACTTTACTTTTCTATAGAGAAGTTACTTTTCTGTAGAAGAGTTATCGATAACTTTACTTTTCTATTGAAAAGTTATTGATAATTTTACTCTTCTATAGAAAAGTTATCGATAACTTGACTTTTCTCTAGAAAAGTTATCGATAACTTGATTTTTCTTTAGAAAAGTTATCGATAACTTGACTTTTTTATAGAAAAGTTATCGATAACTTGACTTTTCTATAGAAAAGTAAAATTAACGATAATTTTTCTATAGAAAAGCCAAGTTATCGATAACTTGACATTACTATAGAAAAGTTATCGATAACTTGACTTTTCTATAGAAAAGTTATCGTTAATTTGACTTTTCTATAAAAAATTATCGTTATTTTGACTTTTCTATGTAAAAGTTATCGATAACTTGATTTTTCTTTAGAAAAGTTATCGATAACTTGACTTTTCTGTAGAAAAGTTATCAATAACATGACTTTTCTATAGAAAAGTTATCGATATCTATACTTTTCTATAGAAAAGTTATCGACATCTTTATTATTCTATAAAAAAGTTATCGATATCTTTGCTTTTCTATAGAAAAGTTATCGATAACTTGACTTTTCTATAGAAAAGTTATCGATAACTTGACTTTTCTATAGAAAAGTTATCGATAACTTAACTTTTCTATAGAAAAGTTATCGATAATTTGACTTTTCTATAGAAAAGTTATCGATAATTTGACTTTTCTATAGAAAAGTTATCGATAACTTGACTTTTTTATAGAAAAGTTATCGATCACTTGACTTTTCTATAGAAAAGTTATCGATAACTTGACTTTTCCATAGAAAAGTCAAATTAACGATAACTTTTCAATAGAAAAGTAAAATTAACGATAATTTTTCTATAGAAAAGCCAAGTTATCGATAACTTGACATTACTATAGAAAAGTTATCGATAACTTGACTTTTCTATAGAAAAGTTATCGTTAATTTGACTTTTCTATGTAAAAGTTATCAATAACTTGACTTTTCTATAGAAAAGTTATCGATAACATGACTTTTCTATAAAAAAGTTATCGATAACTTAACTTTTCTATAGAAAATTTATCGATAACTTTACTTTTCTATAAAGAAGTTATCGATAACATGACTTTTCTATAGAAAATTTATCGATAACTTAACTTTTCTATAGAAAAGTTATCGATAACTTTACTTTTATATAAAATATCGATAATTTTAATTCTCTCTACAAAAGTTATCGATAACTTGTTTTTTCTATAGAAATCGAAAACTTAACTAATATATTAAGGAAGTTATCGATAACCTTACAAAAAAGTTATTGAGATTTTTCTTATCATTCAATCATTCTCTCATCTATAATCCTCCTTTTTCAATTTCCTTTTTTCATTCGTATCCTGCTCGCCTTAATGTTTTCCTGCTTTCTCCTTTCTCTACTTCACGATTCCAAAAAGACAAAAAACTTTTGATATTATTTCCCACATCTTGAAATATATATATTTTTAAAATCCCCAAAATCCTTCCAACAGAACTGATGATCTCAAAAATAATTTCAATTTGAACAGCATTTACGCATGGATTAATATCAAAAATTTGTTTTTTTTATTTTATTTGTTTTCTGTGTTTTTTTATATTCTCTTCATTTGTGCGACTAAATCACAGTGTAAAATCAAAACAAAAACAATCAAAATCAAATCAAAAAAAATCACAACAAAATTGCACACAACATTTTTCTTTCTACCTCCCTATACTCTTTTTGTTAAAAAAAAATTAAAAACTAAAACATCAAAAAAAAAAAAAAAAAAATATCCAACCGAAAAAAATATCATCTATATACGTTCGCCCTTCCTAGGACTACCCATCTTCCATCCCAGAAACCGCTTCAGGGATATGTTGGAACCCAATCCCCACGCTCCCATCTCAGCCTTCACTCGTGATCCCTTCTGGTGGGATATGGATGATTTAGCTCCCATTCGTGCTGTTTCACCATTCCGTGCCACATCGATGCCACGCGGCGGTTCCGTTGCCAGGGATTCGTTCTTGTCGCCCATTAAGAATCGTTATTTGTGGACAAAACACCCCGTCAGACCATTGACTCGTAAGTATTCAAATTTTAAGTTTTTCACTTAAGTAGAGAATTTTTATTAAATAAAAACCTCAACTTGTAATATATTTTATATATAACGATTGTATAAATCCTTTCCCCATCTAGAAAAACCCTTTAGTTTTTTAGTTGAGTTTAGAGTTTTTGCAACTTGGTCCCAGTGTAAATATCAAAAATCCCGTTTGTAATGTGTGACTAAAAAGATTAATTTCATTCAAAAACACATTTGTAAAAAAGATATCAATCAAATGTTATAGATTTTGCAAGTTTTATTGGATTTGTGTTACATTTTTTTAGGTTTTAGAATGAAAAGCTTTAAAAGCTTTTAAGTTATTAAATATAGCAGTTTATATTTTGATTATTTTATTTAATTTTAGAAATTTAGCTTTAGTTGTAAGAATAATAATAATAATTTGTTTCTCATAAAATGTTTTTAAAAGCTTTTAAATATTAAATAGATTTAATGGTTTTAGTTTAGTAAAAAAGCTTAGGTGTCTTAAAGCTTAAAAAAGACATCTTAAATTATTGAAATGTGATGACCGAACATTGTTATTTTCTAAAGTTTAATACTCTGTAAAAAAGCTTTTTCTTACAAACTTTTTTTTATTTAAGCTTTTCTTTGAAAAATAACTTCGATTTTCTTTAGTACTAAAAGCATTTAGTACTAAATTTGGTATTAAAATGAGCTTTTAATAAGAGCTGTTTGTACATAAATACTCTTAAGGTGCTAAAAAGAGCGTTCATAAAGAAATTTGAAATGTGATGACCGAACATTGTTATATTATAAAGTTCAAATGCTTTTTCTTATAAACTTTTTTTTATTTAAGCTTGATTGTTACTAAAAGCATCTTTTGGTACTAAAAAATACTTTTTATTTAGAAAATTACATTTGTTTCCTTCAGTACTAAGAGCTTTTAGTACTAAATGGAGCTCAATTTTGTGTTGAAATGGGCTTTTTATACTGAAGGGTGAAAAAAAGCTTTTTGTGCATAAGACACTAAAAAGAGCTTTACGTTCTTAATGAAATGTTTAATACTAAAATGATCTTTTAGTATTAAAAGAGCTTTTAGTACTTAAACCAAGTGAGTTTTCAATGACAGATCAAGCTTTCAAAGGCATAACGAGCTTTTAGTACTAGAACGAACGTTTAATAAAAACACGAGCTTTTAGTATAAAAAACGCTAGTAATTAAACGAGATTTTAGTACTATAAAATGAGCTTTGATTATTAAAAATATATTTTAGCACTAAAACGAGAATTTATAACTAAAAAAAGCTTTTTTTACTATAAGGTACCAAAACTAGCGTTTAGTACTAAAACGAGCTCTTTGTTCTAAAACGAGGTTCTACTACTAATATGAGCTTTAGGTTCTAAACAAACTTTTAGTAGTAAAAAGAACTTTTAGCAGTAAAAGGAGCTTTTAGCACTCAATCAAACTTTTAGGAGCTTTTAGCGCTAAAAAGAGCTTTTAGTATTAAAACGAGATTTTAGTGCTAAACAGAACTTTTAATGCTAAAAGTACTTTTAGCAGTAAAAATTGCTTTTAGTATTAAATCAAACTTTTAGTACTAAAAAGAGCTTTTAGTATGATAACTTAAAAGTAACATTTTTTCGAAAAATTATCATTATCTTCAATTTTTTATAGAAATATTGTGGATAATTTGATTTTTCTGCTTTTAGCACTAAAAATAGCTTTTAGTACGAAAACGAGTTTTTAGTACTAAACGGAACATTTAGTACTAAAAGTACTTTTAGTAGTAAAAAAAGTATTAAAAGTATTTTTAGTAGTAAAAAAAGCTTTTAGTTCTAAATCAAGCCTTGAGGAGCTTAAAGCACTAAAAAGATCTTTTAGATCTTTAACGAGTTTTTAGTACAAAATAGAACTTTTAGTTATAAATGTACTTTTAGTAGCAAAAAGAGCTTTTAGTACTAAAAAGAGCTTTTAGTATGATAACTTAAAAGTAACTTCACTTTTTTCGAAAAATTATCATTATCTTCACTTTTTTATAAAAATATTCTGTATAATTTGATTTTTCTGTAGGAAATCTTCAGTTGTTATAGCGTTATGATTTCTTAATGAGCTTTTTAAGATACACCAAGCTTTATAGTATTTAAAGCTTTAATAAACTCCTAAAATGTTTCAAAATTGTCAAATACAATTTAATTTTTCTATGGAAAAGTTATTGAATAATTCAGTTTTTAAAGAGCTGTGATTTCTTAGTGAGCTTTTTAAAGATATACCAGGTTTTATAGTATTTAAAGCTTTAATAAACTCCCAAAACATTTCAAAATATTCAAATTTGATCGTATATTTTATAGTCAAACAATTGTAAAATAAAAAGAAAAAAAAACGAGATTAGACTCCTAAGCAGAGTTGTATATAATAGTAGTAAATAGTATAACAGTGAAGAACGTATAAAAACGTAAATGTTATACTTTTAGATAAATATTAAGTTTCTATCACTTTATTAATATTAACACATTTTTTCTTTTATGGAAAATTTCTATATATCACTTATCAATAGCTGAAGAAGAGGCAATTTTTGAATAAAATTTCAAAGTAGAAAACTCTCGAGCTGTAAAAGAAAAAACCTAAAAACAAAACGAATTAAAAAAAATTAAAAAACAAATAAATCTACTCATCTACGATTAAACCAAAAAAAAAAAATAAAAACGATTTTTTGAGAACTAACACAAAAAGCACTAAAATGCACAAAATAAACGAAAAAATAAAATTGGTAAGAAAAAAATTTAAAACAAAAAAAAAAAAAATGCATGTAGTAGAATTCAAAAAAAAATATATGTTTAGAACAAAAAACAAACATGAAAATTGTTTAAAAACAATGTTTGAGTAGAATGTAAAGTTCGCAAAATAAACAACAAACAAAACACAAAATTCCCCTTTTTTTAATTTAGAACAAAAACACAAACCTCTACTTACAAGTAGTTTTGGTACTAAATTATTAGTAGTATTTAGCTTATTAAATAAAGTAGTATTTAGTAGCTTTTGGTATTTTTTCTTTATTATGTATTTGGTAGTAGTTTGATATTTATGTTTTTTTGTGCTTTTTATATAAAAAAAAACTAATTTTTATTTTTTTTAAATTTCTTTCTTAAATTTTAACAGCCCATCGCGCTATGTAAATTGTGATGCTAAGTTTTAATTTATAAAATAAAAAATATAAAAAAAATAAAAAACAGCAAAACGAATTAAAGGCCTCAATGCAACAAAACAAAACGATTCTTACAAACAAATCAAACCAACAAATCTTTAGCGAAATTCGAAACGAAGAAGATTTTTTCAACTTTAAACTCTTTCTCTCCTACAAAAAAGCTCTTACTGCACAACAAAACCATCAACAACAACAACAAAAAACTACCATTATTATCATGACAATTAAAAATGCCTAAGTGTCATTTACATCACCTCTCGCAAAACTCTTTTTTTTAATTAATTTTAATTTTTTTTCTATAATTTATTTTGTTATTTTCTGTGTAAAATATTGTATTTAAAAAAAAAAAATATTAAAAAAAGCATATTAAAAAAATCTAAAAAAAAAAATAATAAAATGATTTACATTTAAGTTTGTAAAAAAAACAGTACTTTTTAAAACTTGTTCCTTTTTGTATACTTTAAATAGAAAGAAAGAAAAAAACAAACCTAAAAACACCAACAAATAAATGTATTTTTATTAAAACAGCAAAAAAAAAAAAAATATGTCAAGTGTCAAATGCACTGTCAAGTTCTAACTCTTTTTTTCTCCCTCTTTTACAACATCTTTCTCTCTATTAAAACCGCTACAACAACATTTATCTACAACACTTTGACATCATTTATATTGTGGTATTGCAAGAAAATTTGCAAAATGAATTTTTGAAAAAAATAATAACTGTCATTTGTGTCAAAATGTTAAATTATTAGTTTATTAAAATTTAATTTAAACAAAATACAATTTTTGTGAAATAATAAAAAAAAAAACAATATAAATAATTCATGTCTGCCAAAAATAATAATAAAAA